TATATAGGTGCAGACTTATTTACGTTACTAGTTACGTCTCAATTGTGGTTTATTTTATAAACCGATTTTTTATATAGGACGTAACTAAGTGATGTCATAAGTCTGCATCTATACTTGTCTATGAATTAATTGTCTCTAAAATAAGCTTTCGGGAAGTGATTGTCGACAAATAATACAGATCCGTTGGGGAGTTTTTAACTAAACTGTTAAACACACCATTGACTGTTATGAATGTGTAATTAAGTAATAAATTTTGTAATAAAAAATTAAATAATTCGGGATTTGGTGAATTACAAAATATAATAATATGGGATTAGTGAAATTGAACAATTTTAATTTAAAATTATCTAAAATATTGCGGTTAGGATTATTTTTAAGTTGTTAAATATATATTTTTTCTCATTCTAATAAATGAAAAGTTATATGTATACTTAAAGCAATATGCTAATTGCTGATAGCAAAGAATTTTTTTATTTGACAAATTGATAATTTTAACTATTGAAATATTTATTTTCAAAATATAAAATTGCTTTTTTATTTTCTTTGTTAGCGAATTAAATATCTTTTTAAACTCTAATTTATTGAATAATTTAAATATCACAACAATTTAATTCAAGAAGAAAGGCCTGCATCTCGTTTTCGTTGGCGTTTTACGTACCAACAAATCATCAATGAAATCAATAAAAGTGCAGCTAAAATAGGTAATACAATAACCAAAGGTGATACTGGAATGCCTCTTTCAAGTGTTTTTACCCATTCATGGTTTAATGTATCAAAAATGTAAACACGATTATTTAAAATTACTTGGTTTTCTCCTGAAAGTCTGCCTGTTATAATAATTGAAGATTGATTTCATAAAAGTTAACATTTTGGCATCTAAAACTATTTAAATGTTAAATTTATTATACTTACCGAATGCAATAATCATGAAATCGTCGTACATTATACAAGAATGACTTGAAAGTGGTGGTACTGGTGTAGCTGTAGAATTACCCACATATAAACTTTTCCATTTAAATGTTTTTGTGTCCAATATTGCAAGTTCTGGTTTCGTTATATTAGCAGATGTTGTTATCGCACCTCCATATATGATGATTTTTGAATCTCGAGCTAATAAGCCAAATACAATATAGTAAGTTACCAGCTAAATACATATAATCACAATATTTAAAGATGAAATATCTTACTTAAAACAGCCGAATGAAATGCACGCTTTTCAATATTGTCACCTGAAGCTGTCTATATCATTAAGTATATTTATTAGTATGCATAAATGATTATTCTTTATAATTTTTTACTATTGCTTACAATGTTATACCAGCTTAGGGAGTTAGTATCGAATATCAGAATCTATATTTGGACTAATTTTAACATTAATAAGTAGATATTTAAGGGATATGTGAATAAATAAACGCACCTCATTCATGCTAACATAACTATAATTATTAAAGTCAGACATCGAACGACCACCAATGTATGTGATATTTCCACTTTTATCTATGGTAGCAGCATAACCAACTCGTGAAGTAGTAAGATTAATTGTTAGCCATGACATATTATTTGTAAATAAAATACTCATTTTATTACAAATTGGGCCAGGAACATTTAGCATCCCGCCGTACAAAAAAATTCTTCCAGTATTATCAGCTATGGATTGTAATCCACCACACTGAGCAAAATCATCTATTCCCGTAATGTTTGGTGCATTCCAACTTGAATCGTTTAAATTGTATTTATATATTGCTGGACTATTTGGAACAACATTGCGTGTCATTGGGTCGACCATAACCCCACCAATTATGAGAATAGATGAATTATTAGGATAAACGTATGAAGTACTAAAAACATTTGCTTTTGGACTTCCTGATTCATCTTTATCCCAATCAGGTGAATCAGCGTTGAATGATTTTGATAATTTAAGGTAGAATACTTCATTAATATCATTACTGTCATTAGCATCATTACTATCGCCACTACCCCCAATCCTTCCACCAAAAAAATACCAACTGGAATCGTTAATGATGGCACTTGTTTGTAGATGACGAGACACGGGAACAAATT